TCCATCGCATGAGCCTCACTTCTATGAGCTCCCAGTATCTGCAAGAACTCCATCACCACCCAACAGCCTCCGGAAGTTCAGACGCAACACCCAGGACCAAATTATCAGGGTTCAGGCCCAATCTACCAGCAGCGTACATAATCGTCATGATCCGATCGAACCAGGCCAAGTGGACCAGACGACCGTCTTCAACGACTCGATGAGTAGGCGGATCCTGAGCAATATCCGCCAGCGCAGAGAAATGATGCGAGCACCGGGCAGGCTAACAATTCTGATGGTCCCCGCGGCCCCCGTCATAGTGAGAGAACGCGCACGCCCAGCAACAACAAATCGATGATGCAGATGTCCGAAAGATTTGATCAACGTGGGCTTGACGAGTATAACGCACCCCCCAATTCGCACTCCCAAGAAACGCCCCAAAACCATGTAGCCCATCCATATCCGAGACAAGGAGCTTAAGATTGAATTCTGTTCCACGCGTCTCCTGCATAAGGACAGTGTGGTTTTGCGTAATCAAGCGATTCAGGTAGGTAAATCCTCTTAGCTTTAAGGGCTCCTGAGAGTAGAGGCTGTTGAACAGGCCGTGGGCATTCCAAGAGGTGATGGACAGATGCTGTTGGACCCCAAATAGCCGACAGTTGCCCGCCAGGTTAGCGCCAGCAAGCGCAGATGAATCAGATGAAGAAGACGAGGAGGCCAATGCGTTGCCTTCCGACCTCGTGGGTGGCGCCCATTCTGGCCCGCAGCGGCACGAGTGAATTGGTCTTGGGATCTGTCCAGGTGTTCCCCCACATCTTGAACTCGTCGAGGGCGCCCCTAGACAGGTCGACGGAGTCGACTTGCAGGGCGTGTGATTGGTTGAGATTCCCAGCAATGACGGTGGCTTTGTCAGATATGCGAGAGGGAAGGGCCGCCAAGAGCGCGCCCCCGTGCGCCGTGAGGGCCTTCGCCAGCCTGGCCTGGAAGGTCCGGGCGGATGTAAGTGTTTCTCGCGTTATGATCTGACACGGTGGTGGCCCCAGATACAAAAAACTTGTCTTTCCTCCTCCTCCTTGTCCTCCTCTTCATCTTCTCATCCTCCCCCTTCCCCTCTTCCTTCTCTCACCCACCCCGTCTGTCATCCTCGAGCCGTCGTCCATCCTTGCCATTTCCTCCTGCATGGATTTGGCCTCTCTGTCCAGTATCCTGCCTTTGACCTCGCGCGTAGGATTGCCAACATCGCAACCACATTTCATAGCTACGGAAATAGCCTCGAAGTAATATGGATCCCCCCTCGTGCCCACACCACAATTCAAGGTAGTGAAAGCTCCAGAGGCTTAGGTGTCCAACGAATACTCTTTGCTTCCTCATCCGCCTGACGCTGCTCGGCCCCACAGGTAGCTGAAACCAGAAATTCGGGGTTGAATATCGTGAGACATCGAACCCTTCATGGTACTGGCGTTCCTCCTCCTCCTCCTCCCCTCGCGCCGAGAGGCTCCCGGAGGGAGACGCGGAGCCGATCGACGCCGCCCCGAACGGCAGAGCCGACCCGGACCCGGGCGGCCCGCCAGGAGGGGACTCGGCCTCGCTGTTGAAGGCGGCGGGCAGGAGGAGACGTCACAGGAGTCCGGCATGACCGCTTTCGGACGTCATCGTCCCCCCTCCCACTTCCTCTCGTCGCGACGAAATCTTGACGGGATGCTTTTCCCCCGTTTTCAGCCTCTGGGGGGTCTCGCCGTGCATCGGGTCTGTCGAAAAATCAACTATCCGATATGAGACATTGGTTCCAGGGAATGAGTGCAGACCTCTGGGGGGGGGGTCGACGTTGTGAACAATCCTGACGTCGGAGTTTTGAGTCGGTTCCCGCAGGGCTTACTGCTTCGGAATGCTGTCCAGCAGCTGCGCCTCGCCGACACAGGGGGTGTCTGAATCGTCCCAGACGCCTGCCAGAGACCTTAGTTGTAACCCGAAATGCGCACGGGATGGAATCGGCTACGTGTAAAAGTAGCAATTCGCCAGAGTGGCTTTTGGTTCGCGGCGGCGGGCTTGGGGGCCAAGCCCAAGCACGGAGGCCGGCGCTGTGGAACTGCATTCAGCAGTCAGCAAGCCGCGGACCAGAGGTCACTGGTGCTTCGGGTCACTCGTGCGTGTAGCCGACCGGCATGAACCAGACAGCGCCAAGGAGGTCATCAGGTGGCCCTAGAGGATCGACACACGTGAAGGAGGGCGGGGCGCCTGGGGAGATTCTGGGTAATTCTGGGCGTGTGCCTGGGGTGTGAGGGCGCTTCCTCCTCGAGGAGCCAAGGAGGTGGCGGCACATCCTCTGTGGTGACCCCACTGGGCAGTCGAAGGCCTGCCAGCCAGCTTGGATTGCCAATCTGACATCCGTCTCCTGCGCATTCCAATCTGGCGCCAGTCCGGCACAGCCAAATCTGATGTTGGCCTTTCGATCTGCTTCCCTTGCCAGACACATCCAGGCAGTGCCACTGGGGCCCAGTGGCGCTGTCTGTATGAAGACAAGTAATTATTATGTCAGAGGGTCGCTGTCATTTGGCGTCTGATCTTACCGTTTGGGCCTCTGGGGAGCTTCCTTCCTCGTCCTCTCCTCACTCTTCATCCCGCCTCTTCCACCAGAGGCGGATGGCAACTCAGACAAGGGGGGCCAGAGCCCGATCGCGGCTCCGACCTCACCGGCACTTGGCAGCCTGGCGGGCTTCGACCTTATGGCTGGTCCCGGCGCGGCCCCCCTCTCTCTGTTCTCTTCCTCCTCCTTGCGCCCCACCCTCCCATTCATCCTATTCCTCCCATCGTGCAATTATTGCTCCGTCTCATCCTTCTTGTCCCCCTTCGATTCCCCAGATCCCCCTTAAGACAACCTACCCCCTCCACTTGTTCCCCCTTTGCCTCCTTCCTCCTCCTCCTCCGCCTCCTCCTCCTCCACCTCCTCCTCCGTAGCCATTTTGGCTCAAGGCTATGAACCGTCCCGGCGACCGCGAGTCTCTCGGGGCGACAACTGAGCGCGAGGGAGGTTCCGCTTTGAGGCCACTCTCCAATCCAGTCTTCTGGTGCCGCTGTGCCGCGGACTGACTCCAGATTTTATCCGGCCTTCACTGGCAGGGACGGGCTCCTGCCACCGAGCTCTCTCTCCGTACCAGTGATTTCAAGTGCTCATGGGCGGCAGTCGTCATGAACGGAAATCCCGCAAGGCGAAGGAGGAACGGCGTGCGCCTACGGCATCCTCACGGTCTGCGTCCTCCTCCCCGCGTGCTTCTTCGCCCTCGGCTCGGCTGCGTGATCTTCGCGATTCTCACGGTGCTCCTGACGTCCGCGAGCGTGACCGCACTCGAGCTCGGGACCGCTACCTCCCTGCCGCTAGTGATGCTTCTGCTGAGGGCTCCCGACGCTCCCGCAGTGCTGGCCGTGGCATCTCCCCCGTTTTCGTCGACAGCTCCTGCGGAACGCAGCACTATGGCATCGCCACCCCCATCACAGCTGATGAGGTGCAAGTCCAGGCTCCACCAGGTCTTGGGGGAGCGACGGCAACGCCCTCTCCGTCGCCCTGGCCGACTCCACCCGCTTCGAGACCGTGGGCGACTCCTGGTGCTTCCGCTGAAGGCCGAGTACCTGATCCCTGGGCTACGGCGGCTGCGTCCAATGGAACCACGTCTCATGATGCAGGTGGCCACGTTGCCCAATCCGCTGACTCCTTCCAGGCTGAGGCCATGCAAGCTTTCACTCAGAAGGCGATGGAGACCATCCTGGCACAGCTTCCCGCTGCGCTCAGCGCGGCCACGGTGCCGCTCATGGAGAAGTATGAGGAGCGCTTCAACCAGCAGCTACGACGTGTCGACGGGGAGATCCATGCACAGCGTGCTCGTTCGGACCTGCTCGACAGTACAGTGGCGGGCCTCGCCCATCGTCTATCGCATTTGGAGCAGGAACTCGACCTTGCAAAGGCGAAGCCACGTCCCCCCATTGTGCCGAACCCAGAGTGGGACAGGGACGTGGACCACACTATCCTCACGGTGCGCGCATCTTCTGCTGTGGCCAAGAATGCTGTGGCTGCGGCGTTGGCTCCTTGGCTCATCGAGGCAAACGTCCCCCTCGGTGATGGTGTGGAGCTGCACGGAGATGACGTCGCCAAATCCTTCACTCTCGCGTTTCAAGGCCCCATGGAAGCAACCCGTACATCGCGGCGGAGTCAGGCCCAGCAACAACTCCGTCTCTCTGACGGGTCATGGCGTGCATTCCGTGTTGACGTGGGCACTGAGGCAGTGCCGCTCCGCATCTCTGCGGACAAGAACAAAAAGATGGTTGCCACAGAGATTGCTTGCAAGAAGCTGCAACGATGTCTCGCCGACCGTGGCATCCGTACATTCCTCGACAAGGACAATGGCCAACTTTTGGCCAAGTGGGAGCCCTTGGTGCGGGTGCTCCCTCTACCTGCGAGCAGAACCCCCAAGGTGGAATGGAATCTCTCTGCGCTCGCCGACACCAGCCTGTCCAAGGAGGAGGCCCACGAGCTTGCTCGCCAGGTCTTCGACACACGTGAGGTACGGTGGAGTGGGTAACGAAGTGTTTGGTGTAGGCTTTCTAGCATTCACGACCTGGAACACGGGTGCCCTGTTAGGTACACTACAGACCAGCGATTTTGAGCAGGAAGCTCAGCTATCTGAGCAAACTGATGGGGGCTGGCAAAGTAGTGGCGCTACAGGAGATCCACGGTGGTGAACGTGCCTTGGAAGAAGCTCTTCAGAGGATTCGCTGTACGACTCACACATGCTTCGTTTCTGATTCTGAGATGCCTCGGACTGGAGGTGTTGCCACCCTCGTCCCAAAGGACCCACGCGTTCGATCCAAGGGGAAGAGTTTCGTCGCTGGTCGGGTTCTGCTAGTTACTATACATAATTCAGAGGTTGACTTCACCATCTACCACTGGAACGTGCACAATTTTGCCCTCGACGCCGCCAGCTTGAAGGAGATTCAGGCATGTATTCAGTCGCAACTTCGGCGTGTGCGGGATTATCCTTTGAAGTGCACAGTTGCCCTCACTGGCGACTTCAACTTTTCGGCGACGCCTATCGACCACCATCGTGGTGAGGCTCACACCTGTACTCCAAGTTCGTCAGGTCGTGGGGGGCAGGATTCAGCCCTGCAAAGTCACCACCCCACGACCACATGCTCTCCGCGTTCGGCGTCGTCTGGGACAACTCTGGCCACCTGTACACCACCTTCTGGGCCATGTTCTCCAAGTTCGACCTCTCCTTCGGCGTCTTCCTCTCCCCCCCCCCCCCCCGCCTGCGGCTTCCCCCAGCGCCGCGACTTCGGAGGGTCCGCAGGGGAGGCAGTCTACATCAGCATCGTCGCAAGCTGGTGTGGGCCAGCGTGGCGACTCAACCCTGCGGGTTGGCTTTGCTAGGGCGTCCCGTCCTGGCGATTCGTACTGGCAGAAAATCTTCAGGGAGATGACGGAGCTCGCTTCAGAGGCGCCAACCCATTGGCACGCCTCGACTGCTTGTGAGTCCAAAATCGATCGTCTCTTTGTCGCATCCCCACCATGGCTTCTGTGTCAGTCTGCCCAGCTCGTTTCGGTCCGCGATGAACCGCGTGAGTTGGCCCACCGGGGTATTTCTGATCACTCGCCTCTGGAGATCACCTGGCGCCCTCGGGATCATGCTACAGCGAAACGCCAAAGGCCCCTTCCTCGTTGGGTGTACAAAGACAAGATTTACGCTCAGCTGGTCTCCCACATGGAATCCCAGGTGCGGATTGAGGATCTCGCTTTTGACCCACCGCGAATGCTCGCTGCTGCTACCGCTGTTCGGCAGGCTGCAGGGCTTCTTGCACGCAATGCCATCTGTCGAGCTGCACCATCCTCTCTGACTTCTCGGGCCATGATTTCCCGTTCGGTTGCACGGTGTGTTTGGCGTGGTGACGTCCGTCTTGCCCGAGTTCTTCTCTTCCAGCACCCCTGGACACAGAGTCTCATACGTGTAGATGGTGAGGTTGTTTCTTTCATTGATCCTGGGGGCTTTCATGATCTCCATAGTCTGTGGCAGCAACAAGAAGCATAATCTCGTCGGAAAGCTCTTGAGTCAGAGATCAACCAGTCGTCGTCTAACACGGTCAAGGCTCGTCTGGCAGGGCGTCGTCGTGCGATCATTCGGTCTGCCCAGTTATGGAATCCGCTTTCTCGTCGTAAGTATTTAGCATCGGTCACGGCCACTGAGATGATCTCGGTTTCGGAGATGCTGGCGGGTGGCTCACTGGCTTCGGAACCTGTTCCTCCCTCCCAGTCCCCGATGGTGGACGCATTGGCCTCATACTGGGGCCCCGTGTTCTCCAAGACCCACTCGGTCCCCTCCATCGCCAAGAAATACATAGACCGATTCAGCAGTTCAGAGGACTTCTCAGAGGTACACCCACCCGTCCTTCGTGATGTGGAGCGCGCACTTAAACAGTCGAATTGGTCCGCCCCTGGCCCCGACGGGCTTCACTATGCGGCCTGGAGGTGTGGTTCGAGGTCTAGGGTCCTTCTTGAAGTTCTTCGCTGGATTGCTCTTGGGAATCTCATGCCATCCAATTTCACAGCGTTGCTGGCCGTCTTCCTCCCCAAGGACCCCAAGGCCCCTTCCCATGATCCTGATGATGGTGGCGTTGTACGGGCCCCTGGGGATACCCGCCCGCTGGGCCTCAAGAACTCCTCGAACAAAGTGGTGCGCAGTGTTCTGAACCAGACTATGAGCTGGGTGACGCAGAAGATCGGGGCCCCATCCCAAAGGGGCTTTATTCGGCGGCGCAACTTTCTGGATAACATTGTCGATTTGGACCTTTACGCTCGATCGGCTAGTATTATGGCTGCTGTATCCTCCCAGGCACCGTCGTTGATCACGTTCGACTTTGCCCAGGCCTTCCCGTCGGTCTCCCAGGAGTGGCTATTCCAATGTCTCGCCCGACTTCGCATTCCTGCTCCTCTGGTTCGCGCTCTCCGCTCCCTCTACCACTGCACCCCTTGTTACTTCGTTGGCGACTCCCCGACGTACCTATACCACATGAACTCAGGGGTGCTTCAAGGCTGTCCGTTGAGCGGTTCGCTTTATGTTATCGCGAGCAACCCGTTCCTCCTGGACCTAGAACACTGTTTGGTTGCACGTGGGCGTCTCCTGGGTGTCGTCCGAGCCAGTGCGGACGATCTTGGGGTGGTCCTCTTCCATAACAGAGCGTATCCATCTTTGGCTCGAGTATTTCGACATGCTTCGAGGTTTGCTCAGCTACGACTTAAGCCTGCAAAATGCAATGTGATACCTCTTCGTGACCCGTCTATGCCTGAACACGGAACCTTACTTCGGCGCCAACTTGTGTGTGCCGACCCGTCTTGGGCAGATTTCGCGATTGTTCCTGCTTGCACTTATCTTGGCTTTCAGATAGGACCTGGGGCTACTGATGACAGTCAATGGTCGACTCCTGTGCTCAAGCATGCTACTCGCACCACCGCAATCTCGTCGCAGGGCGCTGGGCTCTCCATGGCAGCAACTCTATATCGTCAGAGAGCCGCCCCCACGCTGTCGTACGTGGCCCAGCTGGTTCCTCTTCCCTGGCGGGCCGGGCAACAGCAGCGCTTCCTTCTTGCTCGCATCATGCGTGCCCCCGCCAGTATGTTACGGACCGCTGACTGCTTTGCGTTGCGCACGGTGAATGGCCCGAAGTTCAGCTCTGTCTTCTGTATCGCT